GATTGAGGCAAAACTTTGACCAGAAAATGAGCCGAAATTCCGAAAGTAGCTCGTGGCCCTCCACCAAAATGGAGCTTCCGTAGCCCCTCGGCGACAGTTCGACAACCGCGTCCCGGACGTCGCACAGCCGCAGAGAAAACTGGCCTCTGATGAACCACGCGGACATCTTCCGGCTTGCAACGAGATTCACGCTGCCCCCCTAAACCACCCGTATCTTCTCATCATCCATGGACGGCCGGCCAGGCGTGGCGAGGAGACAGTCGTCTCGAAACCCAGACGAGATGGCCCACCGCCTCGCAGGGAGAGTGGTCTGGATTCATACATCCCAAACTATGATGGGCCAGCTGACCGCTTCAAAGGCCGGGAAGATGGTAGACGAGATACTGCAGAGCTACGGGATTATGATCGGGATCGTTCGAGAAGACGAAGTCGAAGCCCGGAACCCAGACATAGAACTCGATCTCGGGAAAGCAATTCCTACTATGATCTTCACCGGCGGTGATCACTTTAGTCGCCGCTTACTGAAACCCCCAGTATTTCATATGGGAGAAGTCTCAAATATCAATACTGTTTGAGCTCCCACCTTCCGCTTACTTTTATCATTTAATCAAATTTAGCTTGAGGCATGCTTAACCAAGTTTACTTTCATAAAATATGCCATGGAAAATGTTCGCTTCAATTTTAACCTGGCAGCATGGACGGGTTGTTTGGTGGCGTCGCTCTCTGCATATTGGTGTTGTTGGCCCTCGAATGAAAAGACGCAGTGTATTTTAAAATACCATCTCACACGAATAGATGCGATGTTGTCATGTTACTCTCCATCTTTAAGCAGTTAATGACGTGGATAAACAAGTACACATGTATTACTTCCAACAGATGAACGATCCAAGAATGCCATATGGATACATGCAGAGTGGGGCACAACAGGCAAGACATATGCAGTTAACTGTTGGGTCCAACCCCTTTAAGAGCTACATTTTCGTATCTCCAGAAATGTGCTCATGAAATAATGCAGTCCCCTCGCTGCCAACGCCAAAAAGAAATTGGGCAATTGTTTTTGTTGAAAAACATGACGAGGACATAGGTATTAATGCTGAATTTGCTGGCCGGTTAATATACACAGCGGGCGCCTAGATGTCGTTGAGTAGGTAGCTAGGTTTATTACGCAAATGAAAGTGGTCCACTTAATACAGTATCCGGGTCATAATTCGAGCTAGATTAAACCATATTCGTTAGCTTAAAAATTTCGGTTTCTGTCCCTTTCTCAAGAGCATCATGAGGGAGAAAGCGATGCGGGACTTTTTGCTCATACATGGTAAGTTCTCGAGCCTGTTATAGAGATCCTTAATATCGCTGGTATGAACGTCGCTTATATCAGCCATCAGATATGCAACCTGTTCATGTTGTTAATTTTGTCCGCATAAATTGTCGCATCGCAAGAGGATAGGATTGCGTACATCGCCACGGCTATCAGTCATCTGTTTATCAACGTTGTGATCGCTAAGGATTTCGTTTACTACAGAGGCGGTAATTAGTATAAAAGATAACCCAGGGATGACGAACGCTTCCAGTAGGGATGCTGGTGAGGGAGGGGTGGGGGTGGGATGTCTTCTGAATACCTTTCCGCAGTACGCCAGGAATATTTTGATGGATGAAAATGACCTGGTTAACAACACGTTTACACACATTAGCTTTTTGCTTATTACATCTGGTTTTATTTTATTTATTTTATTTTTAAATCTTTTTTGGAATAAAAGATGTGAGAAGAAAAGAGAAGAGAAACAAATCGACTCACCCGGCCATGGTTGGGCTCTTCCATCGTCAGGGATCGCAGATGCACCTCAGGCATATTTACGGCCCCTATCGTCACACCCTCATTCACATAACGCACCAACGCCTGGGCTACCTCAATGCCAATCGCACTCTGCGCCTCCTCAGTGCTCCCGCCAATATGCGGTGTGAGGATTAGGTTCTTCAATGCCCTCAGATCCGCACTCCACCTGTTGAGCTCATTGTTAAAATAGTCCCCGTTACCAGCAGGCTCGTTGGGGTAGACATCAAGCGCAGCTCCCGCGATTTTGCCCTCGCGCATCGCTTGGATTAGAGCAGGGATATCGACAACACTTCCGCGGCTGGCGTTGATGAGGTAGCTTCCGTATTTCATCTGCCTCAGCTGTTCCGCGCTGATCATGTTCTTGGTTTCTGGCAGTTCGGGGACGTGTAGAGTTACAAAATCGGCCTCACTGAGAAGATCTCGCAAGGTGGGCACTTGTCGCGCTGTTCCCATTGCCATCAGATTGACAACGTCATAGTATATCACGTTCATACCCATCGCATCCGCCAGGACGGACAGTTGGGATCCAATATGTCCATATCCGACGATTCCTGTATATGTAGAAAAGCACAGTCAATATGTATATATAAGCCGCGATGCCACGCCAGAAAATGATTGAAAAGGGTAATTTTAAAAACCGGAAAAATACAAAATCATATGAAAAATGGTTTACACGACTCACCAAGCGTCTTCCCGCGCACTTCCCAGCATTTACTACTCACTTTATTCCACATCCCATTGTGCATCTCGCTCGATCGGTCACACAGCTGTCGAGCCAGGGAAATGATCTCGCCGATAACCAATTCAGCCACGCTACGCGAGTTACTAAAGGGGGAATTAAACACGGCCATGCCATGTGTCGCGGCATACTGGAGGTCGACTTGATTCGTGCCGATACAGAAGCAGCCGATGACGATGAGGTTACGGGCTTCTTTGAGTACCCGCTCTGTTAGCTTGGTCTTGGACCGTATGCCGATGACGTGCACATCCCTAGATAGAGAAGGGGATATTTCGGGGTCAGTCTTGCTTGTGTTTTTCCAATTGCGCGGGTGCGGTGCGGTGCGGTGCGGTGCGGTGTATGTAGCAGGGCTGGAGGGGCCTGGGGCCGAGGGGTCAAGGTGTAGCAAACCGGATCTTTTCAATCAGCTCATCCTCCGGTAACGAGGACTTCAAGTACTCGACCTGATAGCCCTGTTCTTGCAAAATATCCCTTCCTGTCTGGTTTACATTTTCCAGAAGTAATATTTTGATATCCTCAGTCGCAAATGGTTTTAATGGTTTGAGGGCTGCCGGGTTTGCAGCATGCATGCCGGTTTGGCTGGATGGTGAGGAGTAGACGGCGGCTGACGGGGAAATGGAAAAGCTGAAGCTGCGGGAAACACTACGAGCGTGACCAGCAGCGCTACCTTTGATGTCTCTTGCAGTGGACGCCATAGGTGGCTAGTTGCTCGTTGAACAATTGGAGGGGCTTTGTGCAGAGGATGCTCGTTCGGTTTGTCAATAAAGGGAGGGGGGACAGAAGAGTGTTTCAAAAAAAAATAAAAATAAAAACTCTCGTTCTATGAGTTTAATAAAAAGTAGCTAGCTTTTCTTACTTGTACCAACCAATAATAGGGATATTTAGCTGTTCAATCTGAGTCACAATTTTTATTGTGAATAAGAATTGTTATTGATCGAGCGGCGAGGAATACTAGGTTAAATATTTTCATCTACGATGGAGAAATATTTATCACAGTTTAAAATACTCGATGCAACCCTCTTTATCCACTGTTCTGTTAAATTCATGTATGCTACCTTGACAAGCCATCGGTGTAATATCCCCTAGATATCACCGATGGAAAGAGAATCTCTATACAGCATATGGGAGTTGCAGCTAAACTGTCAGCCCCACT